TTAAATAATTAAGCAATGTTTATTTCTGAAAGACATTGGCACCTCTGTGAACATCATAAATTGAATACTTATTAAACAAATCACCGAAACATTTCTATCTCATTGTTTTATATGTAGAAAGTAACTGTGCTGTAGATAGAGAAACTTTTTCCCCCTTAAAGGATTTACCATTAAGAAATTCACAAATGTAACAGAGTTATGTTTGCTTTTACCCGAAATGGTTGTATGCAAGGATATCTTGAAAGCTGTCTTCTGAGTTTCCTGAAACTATTGTCACCTGAAGTGGTTTTCCATATATTTTATTTAAAAGGAAAGTGTGAGGAAATAGAGAGAGAAGGAAGATTAAACTACTTTTTAAGGACAAGTCTGAGCCCTTTTCAATTTGTTGTTTTTGAGCATACTCCATTAAATCAGTCATTAAAGATGATCAAATATGGATTTTACAGAAGCTTTGCCATCCTTTTAGATTTTATATCTGCTGTTTATTTTGTATAGGCAGTTGCCAAGAATTTTAAAAAAGAAGCCTATGATCTCTCAAAATTTTATTTTATATTTTTTGATATTAAAGCATGGACAGAAAAGAACATACAAAACACTCTACTGAAAAGTAGAATACAAGTTAGGAGAAGAAACCAAATTGGTGTAGGAAAATCTCACTCTCTCTCTTTTCCTGCTTAGTCTAAGTTCTTATGTTTACTGCAGGAATTTAGATAGCCTAACTGGATCTTAGTTTTTTAATATGAAATAAGAGTTTTTTAAAGAACATGATCTCTATGTTTCTTCTTAGTGTTAAAATTTTTTTTTTAGTAATTACATGGATTATTATAGACCTGACTATAAAGTCTGAGGATCAAACACCATGAGGTCATAGAGCAATAATTATAAAGTTATTTGATACAAGTATGAAAAATACAAAGGAGTTGGTACAGTATTTTAATTCTTTTCATATACCAAAACGATATCGTTAATCTATTTTAAAATTTCTATTATTTTTTGAATTTGTTAACCTGGCAAATAAAATAAGTTCTTATTATATTAATTAAATAGAGCGAATTTCCCTGATATGAATTGATCTTTACTTATTTTGGGGGTAAAAGATATCACCATTTGAGCATATTCCCATGGTTATATTTTTCTAAAAAAAAATTACTTTATGTTTTATAGCCTGAATGTCTCTTATTCTTACTACCCCACAGAGACAAAGACTCACTGGACTATGTACTCCTCTCTTACAGGAATGACAAAAAGACACACAGAGTCTTAATAAAGTCTTGCTGATTTATACAACTTCTTGTTGCCAGGATTAGGAAGTACGACAAAATCTATTCTCAAATGTCAACATCCCAGGACATAAGCGGAAGGACGAGGTACCCAACTCAACATTCAGTTACAGCTCATTTGGGTTTCTTGGTGCACACTATGATGTGTCATCAAAATTGCTCTTTGGGAATGAGGCACTTAGTCCCCCGAGTCCTGAGAGCTCTACTAGAAAATGGCACTGTGGTCCAGCCTCATTGAGAATTTCCTTGTGTGAAGAAAACTCCTTTATTCAAGGAAACAATTCTTTCCAGGGAAGCCTTCATTCAATGGCTCATCAGCACAAAGATATAAATGCTTGGTCCACTCCTTCCTGCTAGAATCATTCTGAAGGGCTATCCTGGCTCAAGGATTCAATAAGCAGTCAACTGAGACCTTTGATGGGATTTCATTAGAGCTTAATTCTCCTTCTGCCCAATCCAACTTTCTTCCCCTATTTTATACAGTTATTGATCCTGAAAGTTGTCCTTAATTAATGTGCTACATGCTAATTCTCATCTCAGTGTCTGCTTTTGGCAAAACTAACCTATGACAGGTGATGGTCCATATCGCTGATACAAGGTAGTACAAGAAAGCAAATGCTATTATGGGACTTTGAAGCTAGGTTGCTTATAGCTGAGTAGGCAATGGAGACTCCATTATTGTTCATTCAAAGAGCTCAGAAAGCCCCTGTGACAAGGTAGGTGTCATTGTTCACCAGTGGTCAATTTGAGATGCTCTTTCAATGGAGGAGAATACATCACCTTCTGTGACACATAAGATGTTGGATGGACACAGAAAAACTAGTAACTAGAGGACAATGGAATTAAATGGCTTTTGCTAGGCTCAATTGAAATTCTGGGGAAAAAATAACAAAAAGTTGAGAGGGAGTAATCAAAAATTAAAATCCAAGTGTGGAAGCTAGAGTGTCTTCTTGGCAGAGTTTATAAAGAAACACACATGTTTTATATTGAGAAAGTAGAGGATGCCGAGGCTCAGGCTTAGGTTCAATTCTTAGAGTAGCCAAACTCAAAAGAAGATTGAAGTTGCGGCTGACGTAGGTCTGCTACCCCATGTTCAGAGTCACGTTTGGAAAAGAATGAAGCCCTGCATATGGATGGACACATCTGTGTTGAGGTACATGAAAATCTTGAATTCCTGGCTTCCTCTGATCTCACTGAGCCAGCCATTACCCCTTACACCCTTGAAGTTGATGCAAAGATCTCTACCTTGAAAGAACATTAAACTCCCATTTCCCCATCTGACTTTCGGATATTCCTTAAACTCCCTTCCTGGCTTGTAGGCCAAAAACTAAGCTTATATTCCAGTATAACCTGGTGATGGATATTCTGGGTCAGCTAACACAGGAAAAGATGTTTTTCTGAAAAAACTTCAGGAGCTAGCCATTATACAGTGATAAAAGCCAGGAGAGTGCTCATGCATCTGGATTATGAGGCCACTGGATTAAATTGCGGAGAATACATACTCTTGTGGAACACAGAATTTAAGACCTTGGAAAAGACCCTGGGGAGATGGGATATATATGCCAACAGCTTTTAGAAGCATGGAAAACTGTGGATCACATTAAGATGGAAGTTCTAACATTGACATGAGGGATGATGAAAGAAGAGATTGAAAGGCCCAAAGAAGTAAGGGTTTTAGAATGGATATGCTTTGCATGGCTATAAAATCCCTCAGAGGACCCAGTTCCACCCAGCAATGCAAAGGAACAGAACTGTCACAGACATGTGCTTGTCAACTGCAGTGGGATGATGACAACTGGAAACAGCAGAGGCCAGGTGGCAAGGTGAAATGGTCAGAACACAGGTGGGTGCAATTATCACAATGTTCAGCAAGGTTGCAGTGGCAGCAAAGTGAGCCTCAGGGTTTGCCAAAGTTTTAGAAGATGGTTAAAAGCACATGTTCAGAGTCTCACTTCCAGCTGAACAGTGTGAGGAGCTCCAAAGATCCACTCCCCTGCTCCTTGTGCCAAGAAGGCAAGAAGAGGAGTCAACATCTCGCTGGGGTAATTGCTCCTGAACATCAGGTGAGGCAGAGCTTCTGTTACACACTGGCAATAGGCAGGGATGCTTTTGACACCTGCATGATCTGCTTGGAGCATCTTGGTACTGCCTGTCTGAGGTTTGAGTGTTACCAGACAAGTTCAGCAATATTGCCCTGAGGAGGGTACAGTGGCAATGGGCCTACTCACCTTAGGTCTTCTAGAGCCTAGACAAACAACTTAGTAAAAAAAAATTGATAAAACTTTCTAGGAGGAGATTACAGAAGATTCATTAACATTATCTGCCATTTGAAAAAGCTGAATCCGCAAAAGCCACACATTTGAAGGAATGGAGACTCTTGGAAAAAATATTACCGGGGTACTGCTGGAGGCCGCCTTCTTTCTTCCCCTCACCACTGAGTTTTCTTGTCCTTCCACTTTGTCTCCAGACAGCTGGTTTACCTAAGGCCGAATGTTATGATATTCTGAATCTAAAAATCCAGATTTACTTTCAAAATAGATGTTTAAAATCTTCCAGATTATAAGCATTGGAAAAATTGTTTTCTGTATGTTGCCTTCTTATATTCTTTTACACTCCTATCCCCTGCTCACACAATAACAGAAAAATACTAACGGCTGATTCTTCATAACACTTTAAATATAATAGGAATTTTCTGTATTTGTTATTTATGCCACCTTCTATTTTCATGAAGGGTACTGAGTTTCTCTTTGTTGGGACTGAGCATGACCTCTTCTCTATGAGTTTCGATTGGGTCAAACAGAGTATGTCTTTGATACCAGAGAGAGGTTGATTCCAGAAGGATACATAACTGATTAGGTCAGTTAGGGTTCTCAACATAGTTTTATTCCTTGGTGGAGAGATCAGGGCATGGGACTTTTGCTTTCCCAAGCTCCTAAAATGAGGAAGCATGAGACTTGTGAAAGACTCACCTGAGAATGGAACCAGCACCAAGCCAGCAAAGCTGAAGAATGGAAAACCCATTCGAACATTAGGTAAAGCTTCATCAAATCTATCCTTAAACTACTCATGTCTTTGAGTCAATAACTTTTTTGTCTTTTTTCTTTTGTGGTAAGTTCATCATGGGTAGGGTTTTTTGTTTGTTTGTTTTTGTTATTTACAACTTGTAGTATGTTAACATACTTCCTTATAGAGCGCCACCATTAATCATAGGCAGCCATGATGACTCACGTGCAGAGGATGATGCATCGTTAAGGGTTCATTTTTAAAGTACTCTTCAGGGTGCAGGCCCCTGGAATTCTTTTATCCAAACAGCCAGTCCTGCTCCCAGGCCCTTCACAGTCCTTTCTCTCAGGTCTACCCGCCCCCCCCACCCCCGCCCACCCCAAGCCTGACAGTGACAGAGATGTGCATTACCTTAGTTGTGTAGGGGTTTTGCTAAGGATGCTTATTGAAAGGGTGTGGTCTACTGAGATGGGATGTGCAGGCTGGGATGTCCATATTCACGTAAGCTGGCTCGCATGCTAGATGCAACACGGTATCAGATATGGAAGGGAGAGATAGGCTGCAGGTTCCTATATGTGATTCTAGTATGTTTACCATGACATAAACTTTGCTTACATTAATACAAATATCTTTTTTTTCTTTTTTTAATTTTTTTAATTTTTATACCATAATCCAACCAAATTTTATTTTTCAACTGCAATAAATTCACAAAAAATGTTCTCCCTCATCACACTGAAGCATTCTTCATGGCTGATTTCCAGTGCTCGGATAATTAAGGAATAAAATCATTTTAATGTGTCTCTTTTAATTACCTCTTTCAGATACACAGTATCTAAAACGTGTGCAGGTCAAAACACATGCATCCCTGGCAGTCACCTAGGCAGGCTCTGCCAGACTATTCCAAGTTCAGTATAAATTAACATTTTTTCCAGGACACAAAGTGGACATTATGGAAACACTGCTCTTCCTTTTCCACCGAGCCAGTCGCGGCCAAGTTCTTCATTAAAATTCTTCTTCGGCCTGTTCGCTGCGGGACTGCTGGAGCTGCTGCCGCCGCGCGATGGTTTCAGACGCGGTGCGCTCTCCGTGCACCTTATTGTCTCTCGTGCGGATGTTCAGTGCCGCGGGTCTTCTCTTTCTCGCCGACAACTAGGATGAAGTTATACTGTGCTAACTGTGCATTTCTGATCTTCTTATTTATTGTACAGCCCGGATCCAGATCAATGTCCGCCATGAATGTAGCATCATGGGATTGTTGCCGTACCTTTGGGGCCTATTCATCACATGTTGGTCCCACGGGAGCTACCATGACCTGGCGAGGAGACAGCCAGAAGGGCCATTTGCCCCCATAGTTTTCAGTGAGGATAGCAATCATTCTTTCTACTGATCCCAAGATGGCTCGGTGGACAATCACTGGCCTTTTTTTATCATCACCATCATGGCTTACAAAAGTAGGATTGAATGTGAGGGGCAGCTGAAAATCCAGCTGGATGGTTGCACACTGGTGGTACCGACCGATGGCGTCTTTAATCTGTATGTCAATCTTTGGACCATAGAAAGCTCCATCTCCAGGGTTTAACTCCCACTTTTCACCAAATTCATTCAGACTGTTTTCAAGTCGCTTCTCAGCTTGATTCCAGACTTCAATATCTCCAAGGAATTTTTCCGGGCGAGTAGACAGGTTCAATTTGAAAGAAAATCCAAATATGCTATATACTGTACGCAGAAAATCCAAACAACCTTTTATTTCATCCTCAATCTGCTCCATGGCGCAGAAGAGGTGAGCATCGTGCTGCTGGAACCTCCGCACCCGGGTGAGGCCTGTGAGTGCCCCCGACAGCTCATTCCTGTGAAGCACCCCGAAGTCGGCCAACCGCAGCGGCAGCTCTCGCCAGGATCTCGGGCGATGGTCAAACATAAGGCAGTGTCCCGGGCAGTTCGTGGGTTTCAGAGCAAACTGCTCTTTCTCCACCTGGAAGGAGAACATGTTCGCACTGCAGTGTTGCCAGTGGCCCGGGGTCACCCACAGTCGGCTGTTGTAGATGTTTGGGGTAACCACCTCCTGGAACCCTCGTTTCCTATATTCCCTCCTGATGAATTCAATACGTGTATTATAAATGTACGCTCCCTTCGGCAGGAAAAAGCAACTTCCAGGGCTGAGTTCATGGAAGAAATAGGGTTCTTGGTCCTTCCCAATTTTCCTATGATCTCGGTTTTTAGCTTCTTCTTGGAACTTCTCCCACTCTTTCAGCATTTTAGGATCTGGGAATGAAATGCCATAAGTTCTCTGGAGAGTCTCCATATCTGCTTTCCCTTCCCAGTAGGTGGAGGAATTTTGGTGTATTTTCAAAGCCTTAATTTTGCCGGTGTGTCTGACGTGAGGACCCCGGCAGAGCTCTACCAAGGGGCCGCACCCATAGGCTGTGGAAGTCGGGGTATTCACTTGTTCATTCAACGTCCAGCATTTGAACTTGTTGTACTTAAACATTTCCAATAAAGTTTCCTTCTTCACTTCCAATCTTTCAAAAGCTTGTTTTTCTTTAATGATTTTCTTACATAAAGTCTCTAAAGAAGAGAAATCATTACTGGACACACCCCCTTCTTCAAGGTACATGTCATAATCGAATCCACCCTCTAATGGTGGACCATAACACAAACATCCACCATGGATTCTGTCCACGGCTTCACCCATTATGGGAGCACTCGAGTGCCAGGATACTGCCTGAGCCTCCTCATCTTCAAACTTGAGAAGTTCCAAAGTACAATCTTCCTCCAGAGGACGGTCGAGGTCCCAGACGACATTGTTCACTTTGTCAGCCAGGCCTTGACTAATTCCACAAGCACTGTGATATGGCGTCGTTTTCCAGGACTCCGCATCGACCTGTTTGCCGCCGGGCAGGGTGACTGTACTCGGCTTGCTGTCCTTCTCTGCTTTTTCGGCCAGAATGGCGTCGTGCTCTGCTTTCAGTTTATTATACATCTCAAGACGCATGTTAATATATTCAGGCCAAGGATTCAACTCAGCTCGACCTCCTCTCCAGAGCCGTCTTTGCTCTTCTTCTTGCCTTCTTCCTTTCGCTTCTCTTCACCAGCACCGACCGGCTTCTCCTCGCCTCCCACCTTCTCTGAAGGGCAGCTGGCGTTCTCGGACACTGGAGAACCACGAAGAGGAGACAGTACTCAAAAGCGACTGTCTGGAGGAGAGGAGAGCACGCAGAGGTCGGAGGTGGGCAGGGGCTCCCGAGTACACTGCCCAAATATCTTTTTCTGATTGTCCTTCTGTAGCGTTGAATGCTTGGGGGAGAAAGCTACAGAAACATATAGATCCTGCCAATATACAGGTTTGGGCAGAAGTAACGCTTGGCTTTAGTGTAGTTGGTAGGGTAATAATATGGGTGTAATAATTTATAGCTTTAATTTTAATATCTCACCTAAAATGTCATAGGGTGTGCTTGAGTGTGATATTGTTATGTTATAGAATTACATGCTTATGATTTTGTAATAAAAGATTTTATAATAAAAAGGGGCATTATATTTGCTGGACCCTGATGTTTGATTTCTCAACCTCATCTTGTTCCTCAGTGCTGGCTGACATACCTTCCTTCCCTAGACCCCATTGCTAGTTTGCTCCCAGCAGTAAATTTTCAAACGTCTTAAACTCCCTGCCCTTTATTCTTGGAAGATTATCCAACTTCAGTTGCCATATTAAATAGAGGGCATTTAGTTTGATTTCCTTTCTCACTATAGTTGCTATATCTTATTCAGTACTTTTACCTGCTACTCTGAGATAGGAAATTTAGAGTTGTCCTCAGATGCATGGGCTTTAATGTTAGGCTCCATTCCTGGCTGCAGTATTTACTATTTGTGTGATTTTTTAAAATTGGCTACTCAATTTCTTAAAGTCCTATGTATGGGAAAATTTCTTTTACTCCTATGTATGATAGAGTTTATAAGAACTACTACATGACATCATTAGCAAATTTGAACAGAGAATAATACATTAAAGGTTGTTAACAAGAAGCTTGGCACACCTAAAATACTTAACAGATGTTAAACGTTTAACTATAATGCAAAAATATTCTAAGGGGTATTCCTATCTGAATCTGAATCAGTGCCATTGATTAAAGCTGCCATTGGACCTGAACCAGTAGGGTTCTGCACCAGAACGCTTGCCTCAGTGTACCCATGCTTTTGAGTGCCTTAGTCAAATATTTTTGAGTCTCTCTCTGCTATGTTTGGGACCAGCTGGTGTTGGCAGTGCCCATCTGGTTGAGGTTCCTTGAGGCCAAATCTGGTTGTTCATGCTTCTGATTGTCATATGTACCAAACTAAAAATTTTCCAAGTCCCTGTCAAGTGGTTTGGCCTGTGTAGGACTCGTGGTGCAGTTTCAGTAAGGCACCCCAAATCTGAACCAGCTTCCTGTTTCTCCCTTTTGAAATATTCCCTAGTCGTCTACCTGAGATTTGGGGTTGACTAAGTATCCCAATGAACTCCGCAGCTTTTGACAATAGGCCAGTATCTATGCATGTGTGGGTATACACACACACACACACACACACTCATGGCCTCAAAACTGCTGCTGTATTTCTAGAATCATTTCCTCAGTGAAAGCAAGAGGAAGGCAGAACTAGGTAATAGGCTTTCCTTGTGAGGTTGTCCATTTCAATCAGAAAAGGAAAGACACCTTAAATATTATGCTGATATACTTTTTTTTCCATGACCAATGCAAACACCAGATTTTAGACTAATCACCAATAAAAAGAAATAAAGTCACTGGATTAGATCAGTTTTGATTTGCCATATGAAGATGGACAGGTGCTAGATTTTCCCTGATCCCCACCCGTTTTCACTTTCTAGAAAAACCAAGGTTATATATGTGCTTAAGGAAAAGGGAAATGGCTCTTGGGTATGTATTAAAGAGAATATGATGCATTTATCAAGAAGAAAAACGAACCCAAAGGATATTGCATGACACACACAAAAAAATAGTGAATAAAGACATTAATAAATTGTACCGGCAAACCTATTTTTTGTTATAAATTATTTATAGTGTTTGTTTATAGATAACGAAATAACAAAATGACTAAATTGCTTTATATTAAATAATAAGGGGTTTATTCATTGAGATTTGGTTAGAAAAACATGTAGTCAATGTTTTATAAGAAATAAGGAATGGAATCTACTGATTCCAAATGAGCAAAAGAACACCAAGCAAGGCTGCTTTAAGAAATTTTGTCCTTCCAAAGAGGTTCTACCATCAGGACAATACAAAAGCAAACAAAAAACCCCAAAAAAGAATAAAAAGAAAAAAGAATAACAAGAAATTTACTTATTAAAAGACAAAGTTATCAGCTTGGAAAAATAATGGGTTGGCTCAAAAAAATTTTTTTTTTCCTGTAAGAGGGTTCTAGTAGGGCTTAATTGTCTTTAACTTCACTTGAAACAAATTTGTTAGACTGCACTGTGACAGCTGTCATATCAGCGTGCATTTAAAAAATTTCGGCTGATGTGGCTCAGTGGACTGCGTCCCAGCCTGTGAACCAAAGGGTCCTGGTTCAATTCCTGAGTAGCACATATGCCTGGGTTGTAGGCCAGGTCCCCAGTTGGGGGGTGTGCAAGAGGCAACTACACATCGATGTTTCTCTCCTGCTCTTTCTCCCTCCCTTCCTTCTCTCTCTAAAAATAAATAAACAAAATCTTTCAAAAAAATTCATCAGAATTTTTGTGTAGTCATTTTAATATTGAAGATGGAAGAAAACATACAACATTTTCAGCGTATTATGCTTTATTATTTCAAGAAAGGTAAAAATGCAGCTGACACACAAAAAAGAATTTGTGCAGTGTATGGAGAAGGCTGTCACTGATCAAAAGTGTCAAAAGTGGTTTACGAAGTTTAGTGTTGGAGATTTCTCGTTGGATGATGGTCCACAGCCAGGTAGACAAGTTGAAGTTGATAGCTATGAAATCAAGACATTAATTAAGAAAAATCAGCATTATATCATGCAAGAGATAGCCAACATACTCAAAATATCCAAATCAATAAAGTTATTGGTGAAAATGAAAAACGTATCTTTTGTATTAGGGAAAAAACTAAGTGGCTTTTTGACCAACCCAATATTTTTAAAAACTATTAGAACTAATGCATGAATTCAGTAAATTGGCAGGCTACGAAATCAATATACAGAAATCTGTTGCATTTCTAAACTCAAATAAGGAAATATTAGGAAGAGAAATTAAGAAAATAATCCCATTTATAATAATATCAAAAATAATTTAAAAAACCTAGGAATAAATTTAACCAAGGAAGTAAGTAACCTGTGCACTGAAAACTATAAGACACTGATGAAAGCAACTGAAGAAGGCACAAATAAAATAAAGAGTATTCTGTGCTCAGAGATTAGAAAAATAATACTGTTAAAAATCTCCATACTACCTGAAGCAATCTACAAATTTAATGCAATTGCTCTCAAAATTACAATGACATCTTCAAATTTGTATAGAACCACAAAATATCCCAAATAGCCAAGCAATCTTGAGAAAGAACAAAGCTGGAGGCATTGTGCTCTCTGATTTCAAACTATTTTACAAAGGTATAGTAACCAAATGAGTAGGTTTGTGGAATAAAAATAGACACATGGGTCAATGGAACAAAATAGCCCAGAATTAAACACATGCACATATGAGCACTTAATTTATGACAAAGGAGCCAGGAACAAACATTGGAAAAAGAACAGATTCTTTAATAAATGTTCATGCAAAAATAAGACAGCCACATGCACATGAATGAAACTGGATCACTATCCTACACTCAACTTAACTGAAAGGGGAGTAAGAACTTGAATGTAAGACCTGAAACCATAAAACTCCTAGAAGAAAATATAGGTGGTGGCCTCTTGAGAATGGTAATAATTTTTTTGGATTTGACATTAAAGGCAAAGTCAACAAAAGCATAAATAATCAAGTAGGACTATGTTAAACTAAAGAACTGCACAGCAAAGCAAAGTATCAACTAAATGAAACCTGCAACTCCCATCGACAAAATGAAGTCAACAAAAGGATACCTGCTAAATGGAAGAAAATATTTTCAAAGCACATATCTAATAAGGAGTTAATACTTAAAATATATAAAGAACTTATGCAAACTAACAAAAATTTATTTTAAAAAATGGGTGGAGAATCTAAATAGACATTTTTCCAAAGAAAAAATATAAAAGACCACAGGTACATGTAAAGATGTAAAACTTCACTAATCACCAGGGAAATGCAAATCAAAAACCACAATACGATATCATCTCACACCTGTTAGTCTGGCTATAATTAAGAAGACAAACAAACAAACAAACAAACAAACAAATAAGTGTTGGCGAGATGTTGAGAAAAGGGAACCCTTGTGCACTAAGGATGGGAGTGTAAATTGGTGCAGCTACTATGGAAAACAATATAGAGTCTTCTAAAAAAAATAAATAAAATAAAATTACCCTATGATCCTGCAATTCCACTTCTAGGTACTTATCTAAAGAAAACAAAAACACTAACTATTTAAGGTATAGGACTCTCCAAGTGCAGCATCATTTACAATAACCAAGACATAAAAACAACTTAAGTGTTTACCAACAGATAAATGGGTAAAGATATGTGGCATGCACAATGGAATGTTATTCAGCCATGAAAAAGAATGTTACCAGTTTCAACGACACTGTTGGACCTCATCCTAAATAAAATAAGTCAGACAGAGAAAGACAAAGACTAATGATCTCACATACATGTAAAATCTAAAACAACACTCCCCCCAAAAAATAAACAAAACTAAGCAGGTATATACAGAGAATAGATTGATGGTTCCCAGAGATGGGGGTATGGAGGAGGGTGAAATAGATGAATACAAGTGCAAACCTGTAGTTCTCAAATATGTAAGTCATGAGGATGTAACATATAGAATGGCGACTCTGTACTTATGGGTTGCATATTTGAAAGTTGTTAAGAGAGGACATCTTAAAAGCTCTCATCAGTAAAAATAATTTTGAAACTATGTATAGTGATGGATGATAACTGGACTACTGTGGTGATCATTTTGCAATATATACTAATATTAAGTCATTATGTTGTGAACCTGAAACTAGTATATATATGTCAATAATACGTCAATAAAAAACTATACACATATTTTTTAAAATCCAA